ATTTAGACCAATCCCCATATGATTACCCAGGAACCCGCAGGAAACTTGTCCAAACCCCGGCATCGCGGCTGGCCTTCGACGCGTTCCTCTAGTCGCCGAGCGAGCCGGCGGGACCTGACAGAGATGAGCCTTCCCTGCTGGTGGTTCTGGGACAGATTATGGTCCCCCTTAAGTAGATAGAATATGGGTTTGGGTATATTTAAATAAGATCCCCATGTACACCATATTCTATCTACTTAAGGGGGACAGACTAACTTGGGGAAAGATGGCGTCGGCATTCATAATCCTGGTAATTTGGGATTAATCATTGTAGGGAGCCATTCCCTACTAACCACAAGTTTCTCCTGGATGCTAGAGAGATTTCCTGACGTTCCATGTGGAGTCTATGCCATAAATTGGTTCATTGGTTCTGGGCATACGTTAAGACATGTTCGCTAATTCGTTGATGTGTAGCGTGCATTGCTGCATCTGCTGGCATTGCAACAGCCCAGACTCCCTTTCCACCTGCGCCTATTTCTACTCGATCCTATCCCTACCGACACCGCCAGCACATGCAGTGGGGTGACATGGAGCAATGCCCGCCTTTCAACTGAGCGTTGATGCACCTCAGCAGATTACAGCACAGCTTGTAAATCTTACAGGGTGTAGGAAACGGAGAAATGGATCACACTGGCAGCCTCTATATACAGCTCGCTACTGTTATACTAGCCATTTTCTTGTCCACTCCTTGACTCCCCATCAACAACTGGCATGCTCTGTGCCCTGTCGCCTCACGCTGACTCAAGCTAGCAACCCCCAACACCAGCCCCACCCCAAACTCGGAGCGAGCAGGCAAACAGGCCCTGACCAGGGTTGGATCTCAGGACAAGGGAATCCGCATCTACCCCTTGCTTTACAGAGATCTGGGGTTCTGGCAGATCAGTTGGCCAATACTTAGGGATGTTTATCATACATTACTGTCAACAACGAGTGCCTGTTGGAATGGCTGACATTTTCTTAGCTGTAGAACAGAGCGCATAGCACCCACAGTCTCTCCCCTTCCACACTCCGAGTGTGTGCTCGGAGTGGGGCGGCAAGTGCTTGAAAAGCTGTAGACCATAAGCAACACTGCACAACTAGTAGCCTCAACTTTACTCAGCGCAGACATACGAGCTTTGTCACCCAACTCACTGTAAGTCCGGTACAACGACAACCCATGATGTACACCCCTCTCTGCCATGGTAGGCTACATTGACAAGCACCAAGACAGAAATCCAGGCACCCTTGGGCGAAGCAGCAACTTCGTCTCGGTGCAATTTGCCTTGCACCAGGAGAATTGCTCAGACATAAGTTTGCCAAGCTTAAAGAATACGCTCTCCAAAATCATGCGACACCGCGGATATTGTACATCACTAAAAACTTATGCACTCGCAGCACCACGCAATCACCAAAATGTTGTGGCGTGTTGTGCTGTGCGGAATAAAGTCGAGGTTGAAAATTCATGAGCTTGTATGTGATGGGTTAGTACTAGTACCATCACCATGAGTGCTGGGATGGGCTATCATGTAGGCCGCAGCAAATGACAAATGCATTCCCAAAGAATACATGGATCACGAAAAGAAGCCTCAAAGAAAGCACTGTCTCTCAAAGCCGGCATATATGGGGTTGTGGGGAGGGCTGGATTCTCAAAGGCCTCCGCCAGCCGCCGCCGGTGTGCCTGCATGGTGACATCTTAGGTAGTTCTGAGTGATGTTGAGACACACCCCTTGGGTGGGTATTGCAGAGGGTGATGCTTTCATGGCTTTGTACCGCCTCATGTATGGCTCTGAATGGTTATGCTGGGGCCTGGCCGCGTCATGCCAGTGCAAATGCTTGTTTGAGGTAATGGCCCTGGCTACCAGTCAGAACTCTCTTTGCACCTACGAAATCAACAAGGACTTAAGAAATCCATGTGGTGCTTCCTCTACGCAACCCGAGAGCAATCTATTTCCTTCCTTACGAAATACCAAGAGTAAAGAGAGAGTGGGCTTGGGCTTCTCATTCGTTGTGCAAAAGGCCTCGACGACGCTGCAAGCTTGTGACTTGTGACGGACCATATCGAAAAACAAATGTCCCCCTTGCAGCTCTCAAAACACTGATACAAGGACTCTGCATGTCCGAGTCTGAGACATCCGAAAACATTCGTAGAGCATGATACAGAGACGCCAATGCTGAGTGGAAGATACATGACCGACAGGTCGAGATACGTAATTGCTTCCCCAACAGCTATAGATTTGTTCAAACATGAGCTCTGACCCAAACAAGTGCTATACCTGTGCCCCGTCCAGAACTAATTTTGAAGTACACCCTCGCAACCCAAAACCTTTTTAACGCAGTACCTTCCCAAAACGGGATCCATCGGCTTAAGAACACGAATCCTAAATCCGAAGCTCTAAACCTCAAGTCCAGAAGCCTAATTATCCCCGAAATCCAAAATCCTAAGCCATTAGCGCTGAGCCATTCCCGAAGCCTCCGGGTCGCCGTGCAGAGCTACAGTGGGCCGATGGGAGGCCTCGAGGCGTCGGCCCGAGTGCCTGACTTCATCTGAAGTTCACAATTGGGTTTAGGGCTTGGGCACCTAGCCTGCAAAGGTTCAGGGTTTGGTCCAGGCAGCGCAGAGTTCAACCGTTTGCTGTTTTTGCCACCTGCATTTCTCTAGGGCACGGCAACCAGCTGCCTGCTTCAGGGCTTCGATTCTGACTCTTCTGGTGGTCCATAGAGCAGGACTAACCGCGATGGAGGCACCCAAAGGTGAGTGTGACACTCCCATCCAGAATATGCGTTTAACAAGAATTGATCCTAAACTTCGCATACATCTAATGGCGCGCTATCATCGCAGTCCCTTCGGAAACACAGGCATCCTCATTCAGTCTCTGTACGCAAACCTACATCGGGGTTGCATGGGCAATTGCCCTATCACTGCAGGCTGTTCGTGATATCTAAGCAGTCGTGAGCACGAGTTCGATTTGACAGGGTGTTGAGAAGCTCCTGCACAGAGAATCCATGGCGAGCCAGAACCCGTTAAAGTTTGTAGATGAATCCCTATATTCCCCTATTGAATCCAAGTCTCCATTTATTTTCCATGTTCTTTTCCATTTGCTTCTCCATTATTAGGGATATGTCCATTAAATTATGTAGGAAATATTGACTGTAGCTTTGATCTGAGCTATAACCGGAACTTCTTGCCCTATGAGCTAGAGCTTCATGCATGCTGCATACTACCTGTAGAACCTTTTTGTCGCTTGTATAGAAAGATCACTAAAAGCAGATCCAAGTCGGCTGCAGCCAGCGCCGGCCCTGTTGAACCTAAACACTCCAACCTGTAGCACTGCAACCCTCCCCCTGAAGCCTCAGGGAGATCTCTGCTGTTGCTTCTTGGTCTCCCGGGTTTCGAAGTGTCAGCTCAGACGTGTGCACACGGGCACGGTCGTCTCCTCAAATAATTCGGGTAGGGTTTGGGGTCCTGCATCAGGGTTACAAGGTGGAGTCTGGAAGATTTCCTTGGGCGTGGCCTACGAGCTAGGTCTTTTTGCACTTGCTTCATATCAGGAGAAGCAACTGTGACGGGCCTGGACTTTCCAGGTTGCTTTATTAGAAGTCTCCTATCCGACATGCGTTGAGACTACATCATCGTACCCACATAGCCAAGTCCACCAGCAAAGTTGATCGACTTGCCCCTTCCGAAACTAGATACACACAAAAGAAATGACGGCCGCTCCCAGCATAAGAGACTCAAGCAGTCCGCTCAGTAGGCAAGGGACACCCCAAGCGTCTGTTCTAGAACCGCCCAGCATGTGCATTTTGGATGGGCGGGGAACTCGATTTCAGGAATCCGGATAATGCTGCCAGGTCACGTATGTCCTTGGTAAGGCCACATCAATAGATACAATCCGTTTCAGATAGCTTCAACTGCGCAAGGCATAATGTTCAACATTACGTCTTACCGGAGAGGTTTAGCTGTAGGAAACACACTGGCTAGTTCCAGAGTCCAGAAGTACCGAAATGCACAGCATGGGGCAGAGGTATGGGGTTGATTTTCCATGTCTCCAGCATAGAGCCATTGAAGTTGCATCTTGTGATGCGGCATCCTGGCCAGTACCAATAAACACATTTTGCTGAGGTTGTGGGGTATGATGGAATCCTCGTGACAAGGAGTTGTGGAACCTACTGATTCAGGCAAGGCACTACGTGATTCGGAACCACCTCCAACGGCCTTGGCATGTCGGTAGTTTTTATGCTCAGAGCTTTTGGGTTCCACGGTCCACCAGTATTGAGAGGAATCATGGCCCAATGCTTTGAGCTGAGGCTTTGGGGGTCCACCGGTTTTGACAAGATCCTGAGGTATGTAACAGAAACGTCAAGCAAAGCGTGATGCTGGCAATTCTCGTGAAAGTAATCAGGTGAAATGGCACTCAGTTGGGCATATATTACATAGTTGCGAACAAGTCTGGGCTGCCCTTTTCTGTGGGTATATAAGAAAAGGGGGGTAAGTATAGGGGTTATGAAAAAGGGTAGTTGGAGTTTAGCTTGTATGATTATTGGGCGCCTACCTTGACACGCCAAGGATATCTGGAACTACGGACTGGCCACTTCCTGGCCATGGTGCATGCTCCCATGAGAAGTAACCAAACAAGACAGAAAGCAGGCGACACCTTGCCAGCTAAAGGCTCAAGGTCTCACCATACGAA